CAAAGCAATTGAATGTGGTAGTATATGTATTACTGTAATTTGCCTTTTTTCATGCGGAGATATTTTTGTATGTCGTTAAGATGACACAAATTTTTCAAACGAAAATTTGTGAGTAACCAAAATTTGTAGCCTTATAATCGAAGAATGGCTAAGGTACGGTCTGATAAGTAGGTATCTTCTTGCAGCTCTAACCTTGCACTATCCACTGGTGCTTGCTGTACTTCAATCAATTGCTTCACTACTGAGTTTTAAAGTAAAATGGTCCACCATATGACAAAAGCAGCCATTTAATGTTTCTATTTATTATCCGTAACTTGGTCATTTGCTCCATCTCCAGTACTCTCCGTATACTAGTAATGTCGGGGAAACAGCCAGGTCAAGAGCTCATATCTCAAGAACTATAAATACTAGTATAGTGGCCTTGCTACCATTAGGTAAAGGACAAGGTATATGTAAGAAAAGCTAAATTTTCATACTGTAAAAATTTTTGTACACTTTGAAAAGACAAAAATATTTCCCACTTAAATTTTGTTGAAACGAAAAATTTTTGTACAAAAAAAATGCAAATTACGACAATTAACTAATAATGCTACCCATGATTGTTTAAAGATGTTGACTGTCACTTGTGGTATGAAAGGTTATCTGGTAATGTTCTACTATAGAATATCATAAGAACCAGCCACACCAGAAACCAAGATCTGTTGATGAGACCCCATTGAAGTACAATGCTCATTCATTGGACCACAAACCAAACTCTCACCATTCAGCTACTGTTCCAGAGGAGGACTCTCAAGACTATCCTTTGTTCACTCTACCTGGTAATAGTCCAACCTATTGTTCTTTCAATGGAAGTGAATGGTTCCCTTCCTCCCTCCCTCTCTTTCTCTCTCTCTCTCTCTTTCCCCCCTCACTCTCTCCTCCATCCATCCCCCTCTCTCTCCAGATTGTTCCTGTAAGATAGACAATACTTTTAACATGACTCATAGAGTTTTCTTTGTCTCCCTCCCTTTTTTCTCTAGCTGCACGGGTGCGATATTTTAATATTGAAATGAAAAACAAAGTTTGAAGAGGTGAGTTCACATTTCTATGTATTTTTAATTATTGTAATGTACATTTACACAAATTTCTCTCTCTTAGTATTGGCCATCCCTTAATTACTCTGTCGCCTTTTGTACGAGTGTACATGCATGCTCACACCTTGTTTGCTTGTGGTAAAAGCACCGTCAGCAAATGTACATGTATCTTTTATCTGTGGTGACAAAAACTGATTATTGACATAAGGGCTATGTCTATAATGTTATGTTAACTTTCTTGAGAAATTATTGGTCTCAACATGTACATGTACCTAGTACAGTACATGTACATTTTTACTGCCTCATTATACACCTCCCTCTCCCTCTCTCTCTTCCTTTTTCTCTCTTTGTCTCTCTCTCCCCTCCCTCCTCCCTCCCTTTCTCCCTCTCTCCCTTCGTCCCTCCCTCCCTCTCTCTCTCCCTCTCCAGGTGGTTCCTGCAATTTTTGAAAGAGACACAAATCAATAATGTGTCCTCTCTCTCTTGAAGCTGCTGCTGGACACACCCATTCAAGATCATCCTATAGTACTCAATGAAGACATACCGTATACTGGGAAATTTTTGAGTGCCAAACTTTCACAAATTTCGCGTTTTTTGCTTTGTCACGAAAATAAAAATCGCAAAAAATTTTAAATTTCCATTGCCATGTGGTGGAGTTTACTGGCTATTCGCGACAATATTATATTGTGAAATCTTACAAATGCAAAATTCGCGAAAATTTTGAGACGCGAAAATATCCCAGTATACGGTAGTACAATTCAGTTTTTCGTCAAGTCAATTTAAAAATTTGAGGGACAACTTGTAAATTTTTGAAAGCCTAATTCATGTAAATCTTTACTACCTCATACACCTCTTTTGCTCTCTCTTCCTCCCTCCCTCCCTCTAGCTCTCTCTCTTTCTTTTGTTGTCTTTAACTAGTTATTCTTTTTAGAGTGCCATGTATGTGTGTACTATACCTGGCTCTACCAAAGACTTCCTTATCAGACATTAACTTAATGGTATTACTATCGTAACACGCTAAAACTTTAGTTTGTCTGAGTGTATTTTGACCAAACCCACTCCTTACCGGTTCAGAGTCATTGGTTATTACATGTTGTCATGGCAATTGGTCTCTGTTGGAGAAGTTTAATTTGATTTGTCGGAGGAGTGAGTTGGCTCGTCTGCACAGGATTGAGTTTCATAATGTGCTGACAAGAGGGCCTCAGGTCAGTTTGAGTTCTCATTCCTGTTCTTATTTTTTGGTCCCATTCCACTAGAGGGAGCAATTTCTAGCAAATTTTAACATTATAAGGACACCACACTCTCAGCCTGTGAGTACATGTCCATGTATGCATGTATTTATTGGTTATAATTTTCATGCAGTATTTCTGGAGTTAATGGTCAAGAGTTTTTGATTAAGTTTAGTATTTACATGTACATGTATACGTGTAATAATAATTAAATGATGGTAATAATTAGTAACTTCTAAAATAAGTTTAAATATTTATAATTGTAATGTTCCTATTCTCCGTCAGTTCAATAGTGCTGGATTTAAAGAAGAGTAGAGCTGTCTTTGAGGAACGCTTGAACAGTTTACCAGAAAAGGAGCAGTTCTTCTATAGAATTGTAAGCACTATTATTGTGTTAATAATAGTTATTGTTATGTTAGTGGTGAGTTAATGTTATTTCATGATTGACTATAATTTGGATCGTATAGCATCCTTTGGAAACTGTAATTTGCAACGTATACTGTCATTCTAATGTTAATAATAAAATTTACTCTCTACTGATGGAAAATTATAAAACATGGTGAGCTGAGATTAATGAAAATTATTGAAAAGTTTCTGCCCACACTCTCCCCTTCTCTCTCCTTTCCTTTTTCTTTTCAAGATCTACATGTATATACTCTTCCCTTCTCTTTCTCCTATACCTTGTAGCTCTCAGTAAATAAATAGTGTTACAAATTTACTTACATGTAAGTAAGAAAGTACGTACTCAATACATATTAATCCCCTCATCTACTCCTGACAATGTTTACTAACCCTTGTAGTTCTTATTAATTCACTAGAAGAATGTCCTCCCCAAGCCACACTACATGTGCATGTATATCATGAATGAAGTAAGTTTAAAAATAGTAAAAAGACCTGCTTCTACAGACAGATGTGATTCATCATTAAGGGCTTTACCCAATAATTACCCTATACGCGCAGTGATTGTTTTGCTGCCTTGTTTCCGGTTTTTCCTCGCAAAATTAAATTTAATTAAAGCACCTCAAATGCCATTTTATTGTATATAATTGCATTCATGTAGTGTCAGTCCAGAAAATGGAAATTAGCTCACACATACATGTACACATGTATGTTTGAAAACATTTCAAAATTTTGAGTACATACACATGTACATGTACATGTACAATGTACTTTTATTATGTCTTAGTGCAGTAGATTTACATGTACAGTCTCACTAGCTCATAAATTTAAGTGGACATTGCACTACTGGCAATGAATTTTTCACTAAATTTTTATTTTGTATTTTTGTGCATGTACTGCAGTATCTAAATTTATTATTTTTAGGTACGATGTATTGGACATAATTATTTATGGGCTTGTGGATGTACAGTAGTACTGGATCAATTGTCAGAGTATTTGAGTAAGTGAAATGGACTATATTTGTATTTTTAATGTAACTTTTTCTTTCTCTTTTTTTTTCTCCATCAACAATGAACAGTTTATAAGAGAAAGAGCAGTTTTCTATAGAATATTAAGCATGCACATCCGGATATGTATACATGTATATGTAATGTACAACATGTCAGTATCATTGGGGCTAATTTGTATTCATTTCAGTATAATATTATTAGTTTAACGTTATTGGGGCAGTCGTGGAAGTGGGTTGAGTTAATATTGAGAGTACATACATGTAATATCTTTCTCTTTGTGGTTCTGTCACTCCAATTTTTACTTTTTATATTTTAATTTGTCCCTCTATTTCTCTCTCTAGGCCAAATACTTTTGTTATTCAGTCTCTGTATCATCTGTATGGGCTTATTAACTGCCATCAAACTATAAGTGAGGACAAGATTGGTCCCTTAATCTCGTGGTTTTGTAAGTAATTGCAACACATACACACACCACTACTGTTAACTTTACCGTCTCATCTCATCTCTTCCTTTCTATTATTGTCAGCTAAACTACATGTACATGTAGCTACAAGTATTTCAAGATTTGCAATTTTGTCCTATCACAGTTTGGCAACAAAACAATAGTAAGATGCAGTATGTACACGTGCATGTACTTACATGTAATCTTGTTATCAGTGTCAACAATCCATCCATTTTAAAGTGCTTTATTACAAAATTAATAATTACATTGTGTCATTATGCACTGTATGTGCATGTACATTTGAGTAATTATAATTCTTGTCTATTAAATATGAATTTCAGTGTGTAGTGGTTATTTTTGTTATCATAATGATTTGTAGGGAATTAGATTGGGACTATCTGAATGACATGATTGCAGACAATTAAGTCATTAAAATTGAACTGCACATACACCTTTGTGGATACTACCATATTGCCAGTGGTCATTGTATTGAAGGTACAAAGAGATGTACATGTACATGAATTGAAATGTAACTAAAAATTTGACAAACAGACTTCAATTTGCCAAATGTGCCAAAATTTTACTCA